CGCCGCGCTTGGAGCAGAGATAAGTACAGTAGCCGACGGCGACCGCGTTTCACGAACATGTTTTCCGCTCTTCGGCGACACGGTTTGCCTTGAAGTTACCGCACCGACGCTAAATTCAAGCCCCTTCAAGCCAATTTATGGGCAGGTGGGCAGGAACACTGCTGCTGCTAAGCACCCGCACCGCCCAGTGAGTAGTGTCGCGGGCTAGGATAAGGACCATGATCTGGCTTCCACAGATCCCACATTTCATGATGAGGGAATCAATGCCGAGCAGCTCCGAGTGCTGCGAAGAGTGCAACAGCACAGCTTGCCAGGCCGCCTGGACTAAGTGCAACTGCAGCCCAGACAGACGGCTTGCGGCATGCACCGCCGCCAGCTCCAAGAGTGAGAGGGATACATGGTTGGTGAGGGAGTGCCAAGTCAGTAGCGAGGAGGTCCAAGCCTGCAGGAGGGCACAGCTAATCAAGGCGCAGGCGCGCACCGCCATGACTCCACCCTTGTTGTTCACGAGGCTTGCACGCCCAGCCACCAAGAGAAGCAGCAAGCATCCAAGGCAGAAAAGATCATAAATCAGCCGCCAGGCTTCACGTTGTAGCCAAGGTAGTACAGCTGCCTGCAACACCACCCGCTCCAGGTGATGGCTTGACCCAAAGACGGCGCTGGCTGTGAACCCCTCTGGCTCTGCAGGCGTTGGGGCTGCAGCTGCAAGGGCCACCCTTGCAGCTTGGGTGGCCTTCTGAAAAGCAGGACTGCGGATGGGGGGAGATCCGTCATCGCCCTCTTTATCGCTCAAGTCAACGAGTGCTTTGTGCAGCAAAGTTACGTCAAGGCCCGACGCTCCGGCCAATAGCTGCTCTTGAATGCTTGTGAAGACGGCGCCTGTCACTGCACGCAACTCGGGGCGTTTGAATTTGTCCCACCCTGATGGCAATTCTGAAAATACCTCCGAGATCTTTTCAATACGGTCGGCTGCCCACCGAGACTCCAAGTTTAAGGTGGCAGTCCGGGTTCTGTGAAGAGGGTCGCTCGTCGAATGCGAGCCAGTTCGCTCGCGACGCCGACGCCGACGCCGCCGCCGGAACGACCGCGGCGGCCGGTCGAGCGGCCGCCCCGGCCAGCGGCCGTATCGAGCCTGCCCGTCGCGAAGGTGCGGACCTCACGCGCCCCACCGGCCGCCCGCGCCGCCGCGCCCACGTCGCTCTCTCGAAGCCGAGCGCCACGCCGCTATGACTCCCATGGCGACGACTCCCGTGCTCGCTCCTGGCGCAGGCGATCGACTCCTGACACCCATCGAGCGGATGGGCGCGTTCCCGCCGCGACCCGGTACTCTCGAACGACTTTTGAGGGCAAAAGGTGCCGCCCGAGCCCATTCCCGCCGCCCGCCGCCCGAGATCAGCTGCCACCGGCCAGCGCGCGCGCGGAGACCTGCCGCGAGCGCCTCCGGGGCCCTAGCTGGGGTGAATTAGCAAGCGCCTCGGCACTTTAGATTCGCCCCTCGGGCCTTTCCCCCCCACGGGATCAGTCTCCCGTTCTCTCCTTTTTCAGGGCGCTGGTTTCCGGCCTTCGAAGAACAACCGTTCAAGGCGTCGATGCTCGCCTCCACGCCCGCGCCAGACCTCCGCGATTGGGGTGCCTTGTCGACGGGATCAATTGTGATTCCGGGCGCATTTTTCTGGCATTTAACTCGCACGTCGGCGACTCTTAGTCGCTTCTCCGTGCTAGGAGGCCTCTGTTTTGTGGTGAGGACTAGATCGAAACTAACATTTCGGCACATTTCAGTTAAATACCAGAAAAATGCGCGTTCACTCACAATTCATGTGTATATGAACGGTGCCGACGGGTTTGGCGAGCATCGAAGCCGTCCAGGCGCAGCAACGCGACGGTTTCGGAGGCCGACGGCTCCGAAAGAGCCCAGGTCATGCAAACTAAATCTGAGAAATATTCGCGGGCGTATCGTCGATGTCCCAAAGTCAGCGTTGCGGAGTTGCGAGAAGCGATGGGCGCCCCTCTAAACGCCCATAGCGCCACCGCCTCGCTCGCCCGAGCCGCTCCGACTGGAGGGCGCTGCGCTCGCCCGGCATCGAGCCGGTGCACCACCCGCCCCCAAACGCGGGTCCGGACCCCCCTCGTCGCCAGCGGCAGCCGCTGGCTCGACGAGCAGCACCCTCTCGGCCGCCTCCTTGGCCCGGCCGCCGCTGTCGCGGCTGTCGGGCTCCGCGACAGCCGTCGACCACCGACCAGAGGTGGCTGTGCCGCTATGGATGCGGAAAGTGCAAAAATGCATACGCGCTTTTGTAACCCCGCAGCATGGTTTGATAAAAGGCACCGTTGTCGAGTCGGCGAACTCACCATTTTATTTTCGAGTTTAGGTCTCGTGACGGCTATCTCGACCCGGCGCGCGCGATCTGAAGCTACGAGGCCTGGGTCGGGACTATGAGTGGGCTACATGCCGCTTGCCGCGGCTCCTAGGTCGACGAAACGCTCGCGCTTCACCCTCCCCCCCTCTGACGATAGGTGCCTGCGTCGCGCGCTCACCGGCAGAGAATCTAACGGCGGGCGATGGCGGCGCGCGGCGACGCTTCTGATTCGAAGGAAGGTCGCCCACACACCCTCCAACACGACAACGCCGTAGGTGGGTCGAGGCTGCCCTCCACCCGCTCGCGCTTGCCTCCCTTACCCGACCGGTTCGGCTCCCTCTAGATGGCGCCCGAGACACTTCCGGGCTGCGTTTCTGCCCGCGACAGCGGCGCCTGAGCGCGTGGGCTGCAAGGCCCCTCGGGGAGGCCCGCGGGGCGGCGGGAGAGAGCTCTCCCGCCGTCGTGGCGCACCATACCACCCGTAGAGGCCTCTTTATAGTCGCCTTTTGGCACCTCCTCTCTACACGCCGCCGAGTAGACCCCGCCGCACCGCATCACCGCCCCCTTCCCTGCCCCGTCGCCCTCCTGAGCTCTCCCCCCTTCGCGCCAGTCACGCACAGGACGGCTGGGCCATCGGCCCGCTTGACAGGCGCCCGGGACGGCCGGAGAGCGGCTCCGTCATTTGAGCCCTCTCGGGCCACTCTCGGGCGCGTCCGCCGGCCGGCAGAGCACCGCTTGAGCCCTCTCGGGGCGACTCAGACGGCCCGCCCGACCACCGCCCTCGATCGTGCCGCTCCCACGGCGTCAGTGGCGGGCTGGGGGGGGCAGGCGGCGTCCGCGCACCCCTCGTGGGGGTGACCACCGCTCTCCTCTCACCTCTCCCCCCCCGCCCGTGGCACCCCACGCACGCGTCCCTCCTCAGGGGCGCAAGGCGGCACGTTCAACGCTTGCCTCGGCCCACCTCGCCTTCACGCCCGCCGCCGCGACCAAGGAGGTGGCCTCGGCGGCCCAGACGAAGCCCGTGCGGCTCGTTTGGGAGCCGCGCGCCGTCCCTCTCTCGCCCGCGCTGCTCGCCACGCCGAAGCCCACGTCCCTCCGGCCGCAGGCGCCGCCAAGGAGTGACCAGCGCCCCTCCCGAGCACCTTCCCGGCGGGCAGCGCCTCCGTAGCGGCGCTGGCGGCCCCTGCGAGCCGGCCGGCGCCACGAGTGAGTATTCGAAGGCGCGCGCGTCCCCTCTCTCCCCGGCCCGCCGCGTCTCTCTGACCACCCCTCCCCCTCCCGGGTCAGGCGTGCATCGGGCGTACAAAATGGCCGCGGGGCGCACCTCCAGCGACGCTGTCTCTTTGGCCCGAGCGGTGGGTAACTCCCTGGCCGGGCTCAGGCCCTCTCGGGCTGCTGCGAGCTGCGCGATGCGCGTCCCCTCCGCCGCACGGCCGTGCCCCTGCCCCTCACACTCCGACTCCGCCGCAGGACCGGTCTGGCGACCCGGAACGACCGCCTAGAGCAGCAGCATCGACCATCCCGACCCCGTGGGGGCCGGGGCGGGCCAGCCAGACGTGAGAGCACCCCTCCCCCCCTCTCGCGGCGCGTCCCCTCCTTCCTCCCCGCACCCCGCCACCCGGCTCGCAGCCCCGTCGCCGTCGTGAGTCAGCCCTCGGTCAGGTACTGCCAAAGGCGGCCGAAGCAACACCATCGCTACCAGCGCCACCGTGCCGGCGCTGGTGAGCTCTGCGGCCCGTGTAGCGGCCCCTTAGCCCGTCGCCCGGGCACATGGCGCCCTCACACCTCTCCGCTCCTCGCCCCCGTCTCGCAGGCCAAAATCGTCGACATCGCGTCGGCACTCTCGACGGCGCGCCTGGGCTTGCAGAGGGCGGCCTGGGCGGTGCGGGGTGGCTGGGCTGCCCCCCTCCCGCGGTGCGCCAAGCCTCGGGGGTCGGGGAGACCATCTCGGGTCGCCGAGGGGGCGGGTCGGACGCCCGATCCGGCTGCTGGCCGGAGGACGTCGCCGGCTCCGCGATTTTGGGCGCCCCAGTCGCCTCCAGCCGGGACGAGCGGCGCCAGCTGGTAGCTGGGGCCGCAGGGCGGTCGGGCCGACACCGTGTGCTAGTCGGGGTGGGTTGTCTAGGGGCGTAAAGGTCGGTAGAGTGTCCGTTTGTGGCCTCCGGACGGGCTCTGGTCGGGAGCCCGCCGGGCCGGCTGAGGCTGTGTGTCCGTCCACTGTGGACCCAGTGATGGCCTAGGAGCCCTGCACGGACGGTGTTTATGCTATATAACACCTAGGGACCGCGTGGGGTGGGCGGCGAGCCGCGCATCGGCCGACAATGTGCCGGTGTACGCGTTTCGGTCACACTCAGGGCCCGTTTTGCATGACCT